TGAATTTTATCCATAACGGTTTCTTTCGACTCATCACGTGACTGCGCAAGATCTTGCTTTAGTGCCTGAAACAAATTGTTTGATTAGAATACATGTATATCTTTTTGAAAACTTATATATTTAAAAAAATATATATAAAGAATTTTCAACGGAAAATGGATCAAAAACTAAAATTGTTTACACTAAATTTTCTTACATTTTAAGTATTGACATTTTTTATATTACTTATAATTTAAATATTATTCTTATACATCCAAATAAGATTAATTTTAATGTGTTCTAGAAAAATATTACATAAATTTTACATTTTATTCTACTATAACTAGTATTGCATTTAAAATCTATCTTCCTTCCTTACTTCATTATTTCTTTTTTACTTTTTATTTAATATAATTATTGCTAATTATACATAAAAACTGTACTTTAAGAAAATGTTGCATGAATTTTATTTACTTTCTGTAGTTATTAGAATTTAAAACTGTAATGCAAAGATGATTTTCTTATTAACTTTTTAACGACGGGCGTCATGAGACTGACAAGCACGTACACCAAAATTACTACATTTAGTAAAGTCTTTTTCATAGATCCGCCTTTACTTTTCGAAATCAGGCGGGTAAAAAGGGTTGAAAAGTAAAGAAAGGAAATTTATAAAACCTCTAAAAAGAATTTTGATTTAGCTTTACACATAAAATTAAAAATAAAATACCTTCAGTTGGTCATGAAGGCGCTCATTTCTTTCTGCTAAAGTGCGTCGTTCTTCGACGGGATCGATTATCGATTCATCGGTTGCAAGATCTTTAGTAACGTCACCGTGAGGAACTTCATCTTCGCCCTCTTCTTCACCTTCTTCATTTTCTTCAACATGATGATGATTCGGTGTGGTACTAGCCTGGTATGCTCTGTCTGCTTCTTCTTGCCTTAATCTATTCATATAAAGTCAATTAAAGTAAATTAAGTAATTAATTTTTGTATTGTTTATAATTTTATATAATATGATGCTGGTCGTGAAGACGGATCTGAAAATATAGGATTCAATAGTGCTCAAAATCACTCGTTTAAAAATAAAAAGAATTATTTTGGAACTCTATTTTACAGTTATGTTAATAATTATGGACTAATTATATAATGCAAAAATGAAATTTCATACTTGGCTGCTTCAAATTCATCCTGCAGTCTCCTTGCTTCTGCATCCTTCGCCTCCACTTCAGATTGAATACGTTGTACCTCTTCTTGCTTGGCTCTTATTTCTTGTTCAAGCTTAGCACGCTCTGCCGCTTCCATCTCATGTGAAAGTTCAAGTTTTTCCATCATAACCGTGAGTTCCTAAGCGGAAAAAAATAAGTTACGTCCTCTATTCAAAATCTAGATTTCACGACGTATTAAGACGTGTTCTTGTATGGCAACATAATCCAACAGTGGGTTATTTTCTCATCATTGATTTAATGTTTAATAATCACATAAAAGTAGTCCGTTTGATCGACAGTTGATGATTCTTATACAATCGAAAGTTTTGTAAAAATGAATGCTCTTATAAGTTAGACATTAATATGTGTGATCCCATATTTATCTAGTCCTTAATTTAAAAAAAAAAGATTCGATTGTTTGTTTATTAAAATCAATAAATTATATGTATCAACTTGATCTATTAAGTACACACTTACCTTCTGACGATCTTCTAATTCTTCCTTGGCAGCTTGTAGTTGTTTCAGCTGCTCCTCCAAACGTCGAATCATTTCCTGAGCCTCATTTAATTCAGCTTGCCGCCTATCCATTTCTTCTGCCATGCTTCTAAGCCTTTCTTCGTATTCCTGTTGTTTCTTCTCCGCACGTTCTCTTGCAGCTATTTCCAATTGCAGCTTTTCTCTTTGTTGTTGCTTCGCAATCTTCTCTTCTCTTGCTTGAGCCTTTGAATTGTAAATGAATTCTATTATTGTACAGAAAATGTATTATGAACTCTGTATGAAGACAAAATGACATACCTTCATCTGTTGCACGTCAATTGTATCAGGTTTGCGTCTACGCATATAGAGTTCATGGTTCCCCATGCAGAGTGCCAAAATTCGTTTATTAATCTTAACTCTCGCCGCGAAAAATACAAAGTCCGGTGCCTTTTTGTCAATTGGTTTAATGATAAACTTCTTTTCGTTAAACGAGATATTTCGGATCTCGGACCATGGGAAACCGATTTTAGGAGTCAGCTTATCATCCTTCTCATATATATTTAAACCTAAAGCGTCAACACCTAACCACAGATCCGTGCCCTTTTTGTTACGAATTTCGAAATAGTTCACTCCATACATTTCCAAATCCTAGAAAAAAAGTGAAAAATATATTAATATCGAGTAAAGTATAGTTTGAGGAATTTTATACAGTTAGGTTTCTGTAAATCGTTACCTGAGCAATTTTCAAATACTCCATCATGGCATCCTCGCGTAACATGCCGCGATGTTCTTGCCACCAATTCGTGATCGAACTTTCCCATTCCTCTGTGCTCATTTTGTGTTGATCCACGACACGTTGCGGCAGCAAGCGATCATTTATTAAAAAACCAGCAGTGTGAATTCCTTTTTGGAAGTCTCCGTGTCTTGCTTGGACTGCATAAGAAGCTAACAGGACAGATGTTTCCGGAGGACAATATATTTCATCCGTGAGGATACCATTTTTCACCTGCAAACAAAAATTATAGTCTTTAACTATTGATTTCCAATTCGAGATATTTAATTATTGATTTCTGATTCTCTTCGTATTGTACAGTGACTGAAATAATAATAGGTTCACTATTCGCAGAGTATTGTTTACAGATTTTATTTCTATTTCCAGTGTTGGAAACATATGACGATGCTTACTATTGTTTCGCAAGCGTAGGCTTGCTTCATTTCGGCAACGTAAATGAGTGGATATAATTTGTGAAAAGATTTTATATAAATTATCGTGACGACAAAACGAAATAATCTTAGATTCAAGGTAATATTTTCAAAAATACTTTCGATAATACATCTTTTGTAAACATTTCTTTGATGCAAGTAACAAATTTTATGATTTTCACATATTTTGAGATAAATATTAGGTTTCTTCATATTGATATAGCATTTGACAGCTTCTTAAAAGGCATAGCCTGTTTAATAGAAAAATTATAGAAAAAATTAAACGATTCTTAAATGTTGTCAACCAGTTTGTGCAATTAGATGATATATATGCCACTAAAAAATCTACAGGCTGTTTAAAAAAGCTTTGTTTGAGAGATAAAGGAAGATTTGTCCAGAAGCTAGAAAAAATAAACCTAATGCGTCTCGAATAGAAGCAAAATTAGACTTGCCAATTGGTGTTCGACGTGTGCAACTAGTTTTAAGGGCAAGTGGAACACTTCGTTACACAAAAAGAGTAAAAAAAATCTCCTGTAACCGAGTTTCATAAAGACGCAAGATTAAAGTTTGCTGAAGATCACATGGCACGGACTCAAAAGTGGAGAACAGTGATTTTCTCTACCGAGGAAAAAAATTAATTTAGATGGCCCAAACGGCTTCTAATACTAACGATAAAAACGAGTCGAAACTATCAAGGAGGAAGCGTAATGATATGGGCTGCGTTTGGATACAATCGTAATGTAGAAAGGTCGAGCGGAAAAAATGAATATATTTAATAAAACACAGTTTATTAAAACGGTCTGACATCGACGAGTGTCGCTATAAAACAAGAGTCGTTGCCGCTTCTGTCTTCTCTTCTATATACAATACTACGGGCATATATTCATACATACATACACACACTCACACATGACCTCCGCGTTCGGCGGATCGTCATCGGCGGTACATGTCGATCACACAGAAACGGCATCCATCTTTCATGCTGCTATCGGCGAGCCACGTCGCAGCGACAACTCGACGGCAAAACCGCGATACAGACTCCTCTCGATTATCGTCTGCCTTCTTGTACACGATTATTGTCCAAGCGTTATCCCCACCATTGGGGGGGGGGGGGGGGAGCCATGGATCCTGTTAAGCGTATACTTTGTTGCCCCTCCGCTTTTGTTGCCGAGGCTCCGGCTTCGAGCAAAAAACGAATTTCCGAGAGTCCGAAACATTTCTCCCTATAAGATTATTGTCCCGACGCGGACCCAAGTTCAAGACAATAATCGAAAGAAGCCTGTATCTGATTCAATGGTTGTTTATCCACGTGCCGATTCCTACCCAAGCCACCGTCGGCACAGGACAGCCACGTGCCAATGCCTACACCTACAGTAATAGCGAATTCGGGAACCACGCACTGCGTTCGTGCAGCTCTGTGCTCGTGCTGTCCTGGAACCGTGCTGGTGTTGCCCCAAGATGGTGCTAGTGCAGCGTTTTATCCGGGTAGCACGGATAACATGCAAGCTATCTCAGTGCAGCACTGACATGGGGTAGCACTGAGACGAAACAGGGATCAAACCGTACTGAAATCGTGCAATGTCGTGCAATTGTTTTCAATCACAAAACACGTCCAACGAGGTTAAAATACACAGGTATGTAAATTTGATTAATTTTTTTTAAATTAATGCGTTTAATTTTTCTTGTAATGTGTTAATACACATTAAATTTAAAACATTTTAAAGAAGACAATGTTCTTGTCATAGTATATATATAATTAATGTTTCAGGTGCTTTAGATAAAATTATGGTAAATAAAACTGAATTAGTTGCAGCTGGTTTTCCATTACCTACCTACCCAACATCAACAGAAGTGATACAAATACTAGATGAAAAAGAATGGACAGTTATTTATACATAAAATTATGTACCTTAACTAATTATATGTATTATATTTATAATTTTAATTTATACTTATTATATCTTATAGTGCATACTATTATAGATATAGTTAATATTTTGAATTATTCGTATAAATATTCTTTGTAATATACATTTTATAAAAGCAATTTATCAAATAAAATTACATACTTTTTTCCCTGAATATATATTTATAATTTCGATATAATTATTCATTTTTACTCTCTTTTTCTTCTCGTGGTATAACAAAATATCTTCCATTTCGGCATCGCTGTTACTGTTACTCAACAATTCTATGACTAATAATTCCCGGTTCATTGCGTTTATTGTCGTTCAGTTATATAGATTATATGTAATTACAGTTATACACCGCACGATTTGGCGTCAAATCTCGTGTCACCACTGCCACCGAACCGCACTGCCGAAAATATCAGTGCAATAAAACTCGCCCTCGTTCAGTTCATTTCGTTTAGCCGAATGCGAATTTTGCACTGCACCAGGGCAGTTTTTGTTCCTCGAATACGATGCAAAAGTTGCATGCTAATCATGCAACACAACCGAATATGATTATTGCACTGCACTGGGGTAGAGAGCATCACCCGAATGTGCGGCACTGAAAAAATTGGCACTCAGTGCGCACCAGTGGGGGTTGTCGAATTCGCTATAAGATTCTGATAATGTGGTTTCAACCAAAAACGAATGCTGAAAAATACCAATAACTGCTGGAATTTATATTAGATAAATATGATAACGAAATTGGTGGACCAAATTTCATATTTCAACACGATAGTGCCGCAATTCGCTGTGCAAAAGCTGTTAAGGGGTCTACTCCCTACTGTGACGGGTAAAAAAAATCGATTTTGTTCTTGTTTACATTTTGTCAGGGCCTAATATTTCAAAACCATAATCCCAACAGGATTTCGTCCGATTCGAAATAACAAGGAAGTTATTAGCCTATAACCGAAGCGGCGCGCCGCGACACGGATATTCAAATCGAAACTTCATACGCGTTTTTCTCAAAGCGAAATTTTTGTAAATGGCTCCAACGATATCTCAGAAACTATTTGACGGAGTGACTTGAAACTATGTAAGCACGTTCAGTAAGTGCATAGTTCTCTTCCATACTAAAATGGAGTTGATATTTGCAAAATTTGAATTTTGCAACTTGAGAAACGAGTGACTTTTTTCGCGAAAATCTGCACTTTTTTACAAGACTCTGCCATTTTGTTATGTTTCAATATTTTCTATTCATTCTAGTACGGGCGATAGCCACGTTCATACAGATTAAGAATCTTTCTCAATTTTTAATTTGAGATAACGTAAACAGCTGTTATAATGGCAGCCATGGAGGCACCTTTTTTTAGCATAACTTCATTTTAATAAATGTTTTATTGTTTTTTAAACTATGTCTATTTCGGACATAAATACAATTTATACAATAACATAAATTTCAATGTTTTCTAATAGAGGTTGTATCATTATATTGCATTATTCAACGAGACTATGCTTTTTGTTAACTGTCTCAGGAAGAATCAATTATGATGGATAAATTCAAGAATATTACGTCCAATATTCTTTTGTGTCAAAAAATTAAGGTGAACCTAATATTATTTCGGCCACTGTATATATGTATTTAACAGTTCGCAATGTTTAAATAATTCTTGCATTCGGATAGTAAGTGTACAGTATATGTACAATCACATTTCTAACTCATCGTATTGATTTAAAGATAAATTGAATGATAATGTGCAGTTATGCACTCTCCTTTGTTGAAGTATAATGCAAATCTATTAACGATAATGTATAGTTGAATAATTGACTATTATCTGCTTATGATCTTGTTGAAATTTCCACTCGAGAATAATAATTACAGTAAAACCAGCATGACAGAAACGATAATTCCACGCGTAATCAGACACTTTTTAGAGTAACATTTTGAATTTCATTAAAACTTGGACATGTTGTAGTCTTTAGTGATATACAAGGTGACATGTCACTGATGGTACAACCGGGTAGGGGTGATTTCGAGCACACGTACGGGAGATCTCAAAAACAATTCAACCAATCGATTTTATTCTTTGAAATTATCAACGAAAATACTTTCTTTGCGTGTTTTAATCGAAAAAAGATTAGAAAATTAACAAATATTTATTTACCACTGAAAGCATAAAAAATTTAACATAAAATTGATATTTTAAATTGTAAGGCGCCATTTTGTTAGATTTGAATCTTTTTTTAATGGATTTAGGTTCAGTATCCTAAAATGTTCATATTGGTTCTATTAATCTTGAATATATTGTTTCAGAACATTTTCTCAACATGATGCACGATGGGGGTTATAAACGGCATTGTATTATGCAATTTTTTTATACAATAAACCAGAGAGTTTATGCAAAAATCCATCTAAAGATATACCAAAATTGAAGACAGAGCAATTAACACGTTCTTGTGGGCTATGGCCGGCATTCATGAGTCTTTACATACAAGGTGTAAAATAGGAATTGAAAACAATTATGATATCGATTTCGGTCCATGAAACAGTTATGAAGAAACTTTATTCTAAACTGTTATAAGAAATCGAAATTTCTAACTATATCTAATTCGGTTACGGTCCTTACCTATATCTGTTCTTATATTGGTTCTAGAACCGTTATTCTTTCTACTCTATATCGGTTCGGAAACGGTTCTGGAATCAATTCTTGTATGAATGTTTCAATAATTGAAATCACTAAATGTTACAGTTACAAATTGGTGTGTACATACTTATTAAAAGCATACTTTTTTACCAAATCATTATAAAAGACAAAACAAAAACAGAAACATATAATACATATTATTATTTTGTAACATGAAAAGTGTTCGTAAATAGAAACGCTTTTGTTTCTGAAGCAGTTAGAGATAACCG